ACATAGATACCATGTCTATCTGCCTTTGCCCGCATTTTAGCCTGACTTCATCTCCTACAAGAGCTTAAGTGTAAAGGAAACTATGCAACCTCATGCATTGGGCCTAGTTCAAGGGAGCCTGGAAAGTGAGAATGCATAGCATCAATATCCATTGTGTTGACATAGCCACCATATTTCCCCATGGCTCTCTGGCACTTTTTCCATTGGGTTGCCCACTGCAGGCTTCTTTTATTAGACTATTCCATATGACATTTCCCTGGAGTAACTTTGAGACCTCTCGTTGCCATTTTCTGCTATCTGCTCCCCACCTCCCTTGCTGTGTCCAATTTTCTGGCCCTCTAACTAGTTCATCTTCTAAGTATCAGACCTCTGAGAGTTCAAATTTAAAATTCAACTCATATGATCTGCTTAGATATTAATGGATCGTGCACCTATGGCTCTTCTTTTCCTCCAGGGAACACAGCACACATTACATAGAAGCCTCTTATAAAGCATTCATTTGTCAACTCAGATAAGAGGCTCTGCTGCTGGAAATTTCAAGAAAATGATGGTTGAGGATAGATAGCTTAATGACTCCCAAGTTACACTATTTACTGGGTTTTAGCCATCTCATCATTATAATATTTGGGAGGTGGGTGGTCACATAGGATAAATCTTACTAGGTTGCTTCAAATCTATACAAATAAGACCAAAATTTCAAGGCAACCTATGAATAGCATTATTCTATTTCATATAAATAAAAATGTAGCTTTGAAATTGGAAATAGTTTAGGCTTCAAGGTAGGTCTAATGAGTATGTTAGCTTACAGTCCTTTGAAGGGCACAAATTTATTCATTCCCCACCACCACCTTCCTTTGATTTCTACTTGCTGATGCTATCAGCCAACCCCCATTCCCTCTCTCTCCTCTGCAAGTGTTTTGATTTCTGCTAACTCACAACTTTGCTTATTCATAACTTCTTCCTACTTATAATTCCTAAACATGGCCCCAACTGTTTCATAGTCTTTGGGTGAGTGTTTTTAGTATCTGCTTTGGATCCTAATTGATCAACTGTAATATTTCTAATTCAAATGCACTAAAAGTAGAAGGTACCTGGATCAGTTAATTAACCTTCTTGTTGAAATAGTCTTTTTCCAGGCCTCAGCAAGTACTCTTAATTGCCAGCAAAAGAAATAAATTTGTTTGATTTAAGCAAAAAGGGTATTTACAGAAATTATCAAAGAGATGCTCAGAAAATAGAGACAAAAGAAGGCAAAATTACAGCCAACTCAGAACACAGAATTAGTTGAGCAAGGACTAGATCATAGGGACCATAACTAGTAACTGATACCTGCACACTGAAAACCACACATCACTGCTTGCCCCCCACCACCCCTGCTGGTCTTGGAAAATGGACATTGTTGCAACTACTACCACAAAAAGCTCTCCCTGTTTTAGCTTCCTTGCATAGCCACCTCCTAATTTCAGGACTAAGGAAGGTATATTTTTTGATTGGCTATGACTAAGTCACATGTTCTCACCCAGCTGCAGTGTGGGGTAGGTAGAATAGGAAAGAACACATGGCTTTTGAGTCTTTATCAGTGGGAAGTTGTCTCTGCTTGCCACTGGGTCTCAAACAGGAGAAAATATAATAAAAGGGCCAGATCAAGGAAAGTGAAGGAAAAATGCAGAACCCATAACACTCAGATCCTTCCATTACAAACCCATGCTGAGCCAATGAACTATGCTAAGCAGAGCAGAATGTGGCTGCTCACTTAGTGGGAACCATAAGTGGGAATCTTAACTATCCAAGGAAAGACAATATTGTAAGCCAAAAAGGATAGAGATCTGTTTCATGTGTACTATTCACTTAAAAACACATAAGGCACAGTTAATCAAAGTCTATTTATGTATACATCTGTCTTCCTGATTAGACTACAAGCATTTTAGTGCTGAAACTTTGTCTTACTCATTTATCTAGTGGCTAGGACATTGCCCAGAATATAGTAGATGGTTCAAAAATGTCTGTTGCATTATAAATAAATAAGCTCTGCTTTCCCTATCAGGTGAGCTGACTCAATTCTTTACTATCTTTGGAGGCATTAAAGGAGTTTTATACCAGTTCAGAGAAGGGCATTATTAATGCATCTTAGCCCAAAGAAATAAGGAGAAAGAAGAGTTTACAAAGACTCCAAAACATATTTACATGTTTTTCCTATGCTGGGTTTGAGTGACCAGCTTTCTTTTTCTTTTCCATTTTTTACAACACTTGGCCTTGTTGACTTTGATAACTACACTCAGACTTAACATCATCAAGTTTTACTTGCTGTAACAACTGGGAACCTATAACAACCTGGCCCAAAAGCAAAAGGTTTCAACAACCACTAATACTAAAGATGGTGGGTTGAAAGTTCTCTCCTCAAAATATATGTACTCCTAGAGTTTATGTGTATAACCTTACTTGAGTCAAAGGTCTTTGCAGATATAATTAAGAATCTCAAAATGAGATCATGCTGGTTTAAGGTGGGCCTTGAAGCTAAAAAAAAATGTCTTTAAAAGAAAGGGGGAGAAAACACATCAAGGAAATTACTTGAAGACAGAGGCAGAAAACTGGGGTAATGCATCTGCCTACAGGCCCTAGAACACTAAAAGTTGCTAGAATCTAGTAAAAAAATGCTTGCAACAGATTCTCTCAGAGATCTTTGAGGTTCCAAAATGAACAAGTGACATTTTAATTTCTGTTGTTTTAAACCACCCAGCAATGGCTCAAGTGGTCGTTTATTACAGAAGCCTTAGGAAATGAATAACTAACAAAGTTCAGGAAATGTCAAGAAAAGCCTTACAGGGAAGACAAGTAAAGAAAAACAATGGGGAATAAACCTGTTCATTCCATTATGGATTAAATGTCTGCCAAACAATGGAAACTTTTCTGACTCTCTGAAACCTTCAAGACATCTCAATGGACAAACAACATTAAAACCATGTGGAATCTGAATGAACCTGTGGGGCTGGGGTAGGAATCTTAAGCACAAGGAAATTTGAGGACACTTATCTTAAAGGTCAGTAGATCTAACAGTGCTCTCATACTTCCAGGGTTCCCCAAGGGAGCTGTGAGAACAACCAGTGATACTTGACATGGTTTTAGGTGCCACAGAGGACTTACATTTTTATTATGTGTTGAAATGCAAGTGTATCTATTGAACCAATGGTTACTATTTCATGTGACAAGGCTAAGTAAGAAGACAAGGTAGAATTTATTAAGTGCACAGCACAACAGTAGGTAGATGAATGCAACAAAACTCATGGGAGCTGCACAAGTGAGGCTTAGAGTGAAAATGCAAGGGAGTTGGGGGAAAATAGTTTTCTAAGTCTGCTTTACAATACAACTCATTTTTCCCTCCTGTACTTGAGATCTAGAACTGATTCACATGATCCATAACTGACCTGAAGAAGGAAGGGGGAAGACACATTCTTAATTTACCAAGGTGCCCAGAGTTAAGCCGGATGTCCCTGCCTATCTTTACCTGGACAACGTTTGAACATAGGCACAAGTAACAGGTTCCTAGCAACTAACCCCAGGTGTAAACTTGCAGTTCACGTGCAAGTGTAAACGGTCCCTGAGACTAGCGTAGCGTGGTTCTGCATTGACGGCAAGCAGGTCTCAGGTTGAAGACCAAAGAGCCAGGTGTGTTAGGGGCTCAAGGAGAAAGTACCACAACAACACTCCCCAGAGGCTCAGCCCTTTGCAGGCCACACAGCATAGGATTGTTAAATGTCAGAGTGAAAGAGACCTCAGACATCAAATTTGTCAGACCTCTCATCCGAATTCAAAAACAGAAACACAGAGACAATCCTGAGGTCATGAGCTGACTGGTAACAAAAAGGAGAGATCTCAATTAAAGATACCTTTTCCAGAGTTCCTTTATGTTAGATGGCTCTCTCTGTGCCAGTTACCCAATGGGACTTTCATGACTGGCAGTCACAGACACCGCAATCCTATTCATCGATCTGATGATCTGGCAGCGGATTCAGAGGACAGCACGTAGCAACGCTTAATGAGAGAGGATGGAGCTGGGACCCGTCAGAAGATGAGGAGGATGCCTTCACGAAGCTCAGTCAGAGCTAGGTTTGTGATGACGCACTGTTGGTCCTTGGAGTGGGCCAGCATCGGACCCATAAAAGATGCAAGAGAAGAAACTTGGCAAGAAGTGGATGCTTTCGCCTACAGAGAGGGCCCTGTGTCCCAAAACAACTGCATCTCCACCTCATATACCCACGTAAAAGTTAACCACACCACACCACACCTGCCTATCCCAGATGGGGCTCCCTGCGCAAACGCCTCCTCAACCTCCGGGATTTTCCAACTGTGGCGCAAGCTCCTCCCTCGCCAGAGCCGGGTGTAGTCCTAGCTCGAAGAGCTGGAGCGAGCTGCGGCTGGGGGGCGGCGAGGAGTGGGCCCCGGTAGCGGCCATTGGCTGTGCGAACCCGGAGGGGCGGAGGAATAGCGCGCGGGCC